AGACAAATGAAACGTGCATTTTAATCATATCATATTAGTTGCCACGTACATTCCCCTTTATTATATACTGACATACTAAATTTTTGATGTCTGATAAGTAAACAAATACATCCCCATTGCTTCCAGTCCACACAACGGTCCTGCACAAGTACTACCCACTAGTTAATGTTGGATAAAGCACAACGCATATACTACAAATGTGACACGCGTCTTACTCGTCTCCGTCTCGGTCGTATGCGTTGCTAAGTTTACGTTTCACTTCTTCATTCTCTAATTTCCATACAGCGAGACGATTATTCAACCCAAACTCCGACCTTATCTTCTCATGCTCACCAATCCCATCAATATCGATCACCTCATCACGTAACATCATCTTGCAATTGCCTCCATCATCGCCTACAACATGCTGCCGATCATTTGAATCCACCTTACGAAGCTGCCCACGCAAAATACGGTACTCATATTCTGGTAACTTTCTCTCGTCTCATTTTCCTTTTTATGTTTCGGACAAATGAATTCTGTAACAAAGTGCCGGGCCGCACCTCATCTTGCATTTCCCTAACAAGTTGTACTTTTGGTAAATCTATGTTGTCGATTGCACACTTTTCAGTAAAGACATGTCCGACCCCAACCACGTCTGCAACCCCATTTGCTTCACTCCCAACGCTGAATTGCCCACAGCATTCTGTGTCACATCGTGTATCACTTCCTCGACATTTTTTTCATCAACAAATGCAAATGAATCCGAATCGTTCCCTCAAGCATTCGCATGCGGACTTCCTACAATGATACAACCAGCGTTTGCTCTAATTTGCACCTCAAGCCTAGTTATGGTTTTCCTCAAATCACTGATAACATTTTCCAGCCATGCTATTTCATTTTCTTTCACCTTCAGGCAATCATTGAACCCAACAAACAAGTTGGACGCTTGTTGCTCAAGTGCCTTTGTTAGTTTTGCAACTTGGTCCTCCAGTTTGGTGATCACAAAATCTTTTGCTTTCAGCTCAGCCTCCAGAACAATGATTCTTCTCTGTGCATGCTCAGTGGTGGAAGTAATGGGTGCACCATCACCACTTGGGCAACGCCGTGCATTGTCTTTTTCCATTTTATCCACTCCAACTGATTTACCACTTCGCTGTTCATATACCAATTGTCCGCCCACATCAACACCATTGCCAACCCCATCACCAAGCACACCACATTCAACATTCGTATCATTCATAGTCCCACCAGCTGCTTCACATTCCCCATTACCTACTGTATGCACATCATTTACATCAACAAAGTCGTCATCAACCAAGCCCATCGTGCTATATCCCCCCGTCAGTTATGCCTTCTCATACGACGTCACTTGTAATCTGCCTGGATTGACCTGGTTAACCATGCCATAAACACTCAATTAAACACATATGCGTTCATCAACATTTGCATTCACCTACAGTTCACACATCTAAATATTAAGACTTAAATGCAAAATGGTTACCTCAAATGCATCACCATTTGAAAACGTCACAGTACGCATCTTTGTTAACAAAGAACTAACATTCCATTTCAAGAATCTAGGGAACAAGTCGGGGTTAGTAGCATCCACTAACGTCGTGTGTTGACACAGGAAATGTCACGACCCAAACCTGTCCCTAAAAGTTTAGGCCATGACCGGCCTATAATTAGGCCTCAAAGACAAAATTTCAAAATATTTAAAAGACATCGGGGCCTAAAGCGGAAGCAAATCAAATAGAAATGTCCATTGAGCTTGTACATACATAATAACTGAAATACTTAAATGAAAACACACTAATAGACATATATACATATATATATATATATATATATATCACCCACATATACATAAAACTTAAGTAAACACAAAATTCTCACAATGCAAGGTTACAACCTCAACACGGAGGTGCATTTTGGGTGGCTTGACTCAGCAAGTTCACAAAAAAAACTCCTGAGGCTGACCGAAGGATGGTCTCCAGATTGATCACCTACATACAGATAAAATACGAAATGAGCGAAGCTCAATGAGTAATAATAAAGTGAAGTGAATCAAGTAAATAATCTAGGGTCAAAAGAAGTATAACACATTACTCTTCCACATTTATCAAAACGGCCTTGGGCCCAATCATATATCAAAACGACATCGGGCCCAATTCATGTATCAAAACGGCCTCGGGCCCAATTCATGTATCAAAACGGCCTCAGGTCCAATTCATGTATGTATGGACCTAAGAGGTGTCTTGTATGGATTCTAGAGGTGACTCTCACTGTAGCGCCTAGTTTCACACAACACTTTGTTCCATACCAAAGTTAGTTGGTCTTTAAAGACCGAACAATTCATATCATGCCATAGCTTAAGCGGAACGGATAAAACGAACGGCCTTAGGCACATTTCATATGCCATTGTTCATACTTGCCAATATTGCACCAATAGTAAACCCAAAACAAAAACAAACAAAAAACACATCACAACACACACTAACACAATATGATTTCACAAAACTCTTCAAATATGAGAAAACTTACTGTTTCGCGGAGTTGTCATCAGTTGTGGGGATCTTTACAAGTACGACACTGTGTATAACAGTTGTTGAAACCACGGCAGCCACACTTAAATACTAGTAAATATCTAAACTTATAAACCTAACCAAAGAAAAAAAATCCATCCACACCAAATTGGGGGTGTTTGCTTTGCGTTTCGGATTTGGTAGGATTTGGGGTATTTACTGACGTAAATCACTTAATCGTAAACGGTTAAACCCAATATTCCCACCGTCAATTGTGGGATCGGATTACGCCAAATGCGCGACCCACCCCGATTAAGATTTAAACCTCCAATTTTGGAAACAACAAACTTATATATCTACAACCAAACAATCATCGTCACAGTGGCGACACAAATTCGTCGTCAAACCCTACACTACTCTCACCACACCATGGTTGCCGCCCGAATCCTTAGTCGTAGTGGGTCACACTTCAGAATCGAAACATCAATCGTCAAACACTATTCAAAATGTGGGGCTTCACAGGATGGACTTGCAGTATGATGTGGGCCACCAAAATGTGGTCCAGCAAATTGATGTGAGCCATCAAATAGTGGTTCACCGAACTGATGTGGTCCATCAATTTATGGTTATGGAAAATAATGTGTGCTCTCCAAATGTGGGCTTCGAAAATGGTTTGGGCCACCAACGTGTGGGTCATAAAAAATATGGACCCCCAAAATACACTACTAAACCCATAAAGCTCTATAGTAAGCTTTTCCAAAACGTTACATACACCCACATCATTACAACATAATATCACAAACCAAAAACACTACATACATGGGCAAAACAGTCCACCCCAAATTAATGGGACCTTTGGGTGTAAAAAATTAAATATGGGACTGATTAGATTACAATTCCACCTTTTAGGATTTATGAGTCAATTTCCCTTTTTTTAATTCAAAGCACATGGAGGATTACTATATCCGTTATTTATAGAAATAAAAATAAGTGTTTTTACCATTTGTGAACATCATATTCATATAGATATTTATAGATGAAAAAGTTGCATTCGTTCACCCAACTTGCTTTGCCTAATTTTTTTTTAAAGTTTTAAATCGTTTTTCTAATATTAACCTAAGATTTATTTAAAATTTTATTAAAGGATTTTATTCATTGAGGTTGAATTGTCCCTAAAATGTTTGTGAATATTCCATTTGAGATTGAATTGTCTATGATGTCTAATGTGGTCCACTGTGGATCCTTTTTAAGCTTATTTCGACAATTTAAACTCATTTTGTAGAGAACATCGAGCTGATCAATCATGCCAAATATCAAGTTGATTGAGTATCGATAGTCATTTGATTGAATCATTTTTGTCTAAAAATAATTAATGGTCTATATTATTTTGAAAGTAATTCACCAATTTAATCAAGTGGCGAACAATCTCCTATTAACTTAATTTTTAGTATGAATAATTTGCTCAACGAATAGAATAGAATTACAACTGAAAAGAGTTTTGTTAAACGGAATTGCTAAAAACAAAAACTTAACACAAGTAATATAATATTTTATTCTGTGCATATCACGTTCACTTAAATTCAAATAGTATCAAATTAAATAAATATAATTTTTCAAATTTTTTTTCCCATTTATGAATCAACATTCCATTTATAAATAAATTTTCCTTTCCATTTTCGCTCCTCTTTATTTATATTTTTAGTATTATTTTTTGGTCTGTTCGTACACTCTCATTTTTAGACTCAAACCAACCCTTTTGTCTCTCTCTCTCTCTCTCTCTCTCTCTCGCACACACGCACAACCTTCGCGTTGCCGCCGACTATTCTGTTCTTCACCGGCGTTAGGGTTTTGACCCTTGGTGATTTTCTTTTATCTTCATTTTTTCTTCTTTTGCACAACAAATCACTTATGCTAGCCTTCATATATTTATTTGTCTTTTCGTATTGGCTTGGATAATGCTTCTTCATCTATGTTTTTTCATCTAGTTCTATTTGATCCTTTCTCTAAAAAATGTATTTTGTGTTTTTTAAACTCGTACTATAAGCATATATAGTTTCTTCATTTGCTTTGTGTGCATTTTTTTTTTGTTGGTAGGTTTAATATTTTCTATTTCTTCCTCGTTTCTCAGTTGTTTGAGCTCTTATATATAGGAGAGTGATACAATCCTAATCTAATTCTAATTCCTAATTTAGGATATACATTATCAATGATATACATTAATTGTGATATATTTACATTAATTAGGATATACATTAACAACCTCCCTCAAACTCAAGGTGGGTAAGCATTAACCAACTTGAGCTTGGAAACAAGATCACTGAAACGACTAGGAGGATGAGCCTTAGTGAAAATATCAGCAGGTTAATCAACAGAAGCAATAGGAAGAAGATGAATAGTACCACATGTAACATGCTGTCGAATGAAATTACAATCAATCTCAATATGTTTGATGCGATCACGAAAGACGTCATTGTGAGAAACCTGGATGGCACTCTAATTGTCACAATAGAAAGAGGTAGCACCAAGGAAAGAAACACTCATGTCAGTAAGAAGCCAACGAAGCCACAGAAGTTCTTGAGTAGTGTCAGCAAGAGCGCGGTATTCAGCTTCAATGCTAGAGCGAGCAGTGATGGACTGTTTTTTGCTGCGCCAAGTAAGAAGAGAATCTCATAAGAAAAAATAGAAACTCGTGGTGGAGCGTTGATCAGTAAGATCCCCAGACCAATCAACATTAAAAAAAGCACGAAGCTCGAGAGAAGAGTGAGAAGAGTAGTGAAGCCCATGGAACATAGTGTCTTTGACGTAGCGAAGTAAGCGAAATAGAGCAGTATAATGCAGGGTGCGGGGAGTTGACATATATTGACTAACAAGATGGATATCATATGCAATGTTAGGATGAGTCAGAATGAGATAGATAAGACTACCTACCAGTTGGCGATAAAAAGTAGCATCAAAGAGAAGATCCCCATCTATAGGAGTGAGACGAGTCTGAGGATCAACTGGAGTAGAAGTAGTCTTGCCATCGATAAGACCAACACATGCTAGAAGATCAGATGCATATTTGGCTTGTGACAAATAGTAACTAGTGGAATCATGAGAGATTTCAAGTCCTAAGAAATAATTGAGAGTACCAAGGTCTTTCATCTCAAACTGACAATTGAGAAATTGTTTGAGGCTAAGAATACCAGCCACATTATCATCAGTGATAATCATATTATCCACATAAAGAAGAAGAAGAGTAGTGTCATGAGTAGTGGTCCGAACAAATAGAGTAGAATCATATGAGCTGGAAGTGAAACCGAAGTCATGAATGGTAGAGCTGAACTTAGCAAACCAAGCTCATGGGGCTTGCTTGAGACCATAGAGAGCATGTTGTAGTTGGTAAACCTTATGAGTTGAATAAGTAAAGCCAGAGGGAGGTTGCATGTATATCTCCTCAAGAAGATCACCATTAAGGAATGCATTTGTGACATCTATCTGAAAAAGCTCTAAGTGGCAAGCTACAACAATAATAATCAAGTTACGAACAGAGGTAAGCCAAGCAACAAGAGCAAAGGTCTCCTCATAATCAATGCTATATTCTTGGGTGAAGCCCTTTGCAACAAGACGAGCTTTGTAGCGCTTAATAGAGCCATCAGAATGGGTCTTTATTTTGTATACCCATTTGCAACCAACCATAGTCTTTCCAGGAGGAAGATTAACCACATCCCAAGTATGATTTTTGGCTAAATCCTGTAGTTCATCAGTCATAACTTACTACCAAAGATGATTAGTATAAGCCTCACGATAGGAGGTAGGTTCATAAATAGAAAAGGCAGTAGACCCGACAATATAATCATGAAGATGAATAGGTGGTTGAGTTATTCGATGAGGACGACCTGTGAGAAGATTTGGTTGGAAGAGAGGAGACGAGCGAGAATGCACAATAGGAGATGGACCATCAGAGAGAGTAGTTTGGACAAGATCAGGAGTCAACAAAGACGTCTTTACAAATGAGGAATCTGCATCAAATTCATTAGAGAAGAAATCTATGGAAGGATTAGTAAAGTAGTAGGGGAGGGTAAGTGAAATGAGGATTGGGAGGAAAACATTTTATGCTCACAATAAATCACATGACGGGATACACGAAGATGTTTAAAGAGAGGGTCTCGATAGCGATAACCTTTATGTTCAATCCCATACCCGGGAAAGCAACAAAGATGAGAACGATGTCTAAGCTTTGTGTGTTCATGAGGTTGAAGCAGGACAAAACATGCGGACCCAACAACCTGAAGATGTATGTATGGAGGGTGTGTGCCGTGTGGATGTTCAAAAAGAGTTTGATTATTGATGACAGGGGTGGGAACACAGTTGGTAGTATACATAGCAGTAAGGGCAACTTCCCCTTAAAAGTTCTCAAGACAAGAAGAAGAGAGAAGGAGAGCTCGAGTAGTGTCGAGAATATGCCTATGTTTCCTTTTAGCACGTCCATTTTGTTGGGACGTGCCAACACAAGAACAATGAGGCTGAGTACCATGACTCTGAAGATGTCACGCCCTCGAATTTACGAGGTTCGGCCCATGTCAGTAAACCACCCAACGATAACCGATTGCTAACAACACTCATGTAGATGTATATAATATAAGCACACAGTACATGTGTTATTCCAATTTTATACATTTTTAGATACAACATCTAAGTCAAATGGATGCTCTGCAATAAAAAACATACAAAGATGTTATAAATCAAATTAAATGCCCAAAGGCTTACATCATCTACAAAGGGTATAACCCTTACAAGAATGGCACACGGCCAACAAATACATAAATGGCCCTTGGCTGACAAATAACAGAACCATCCTACACGGTTCCAAGCACAACTTCAACGTCTCAGTCCACATCCGTATAAGCATATCTGAAAAATATTTTTAGCCACGTAAGGTGAGCATAAAGCCTAGTATATGCTCCACTAGTGTAAATGATCATGAATGTAATACAAACATATATAACATGCTTAATGCATTCTCAAATCCACTTGTTTTCTTAATAAAAACCCCTTTCTTTCCAGTCTTCCAAACCTTTTGTTTATTCAAAACGTTTTCCGAATTCAATACATTAGTTTGACATAAAACCCATTTCCATAAGTCAATCCAGGTATCTCAATATCAACTAGCAATTTCATTGCCAATTTTAATATGAATACATCGTTAACCAACATCAAATACATTGCTAAAATCGTTTAAAATCATTTTTTTTCCAAAACTAAAATGATAATAAATAAAATGAGTAAATCTCCAAAACCAATACAACCTTTCACAGAAATTTCGTTCGCGGGAAACTGTCAAACGAGACCTATGTAAATGTAGGCTTTATAAGCACTACCTTTGCCATTTTATGAAAATTTCGTCCACAGGAACCGGCGCCCATGTATACGTGCGTTTTTCAGGACTTTCACCCTGGACACACAGGCCAATTTAATTCAATGGAGTCTGTAATCACCCCGACCCATGATTAACGTATATACTATGATTAAGTATGCCTAATAAGAAATTAAGATGAAATCCTGAGTTAATTAGATGTGCATTGCATTATTTGTGTCTCTATCTGTCTATCGTAGAAATATCTATTTGAATTTCTGTTTCTTTTGCGAATTGAAGGCCTTATCGGCATCCAATCATGAAATTGGCTTGATTTATGTGTTATATAGGATTTTTAGAATTTTATAGTAAGTATAATTAAAATTTGATTCAGAGCGATTAAATTAGATTAATTAATGTTCTTTTGCTTAGCTATAATTAGCCACCACTAATGAAGCCTATATAAGGCTTATTATGTGGCCCCACTCATTCTTTTTCCTCATTTCAACACATCTTTGAGTTTATACACACACCAAACGTAAGAGAGAGGAGAATGAGAAGAGGTTGTGCTCAAGCTTGAGTTGGAAGAAGATTGAAGAGAAATCAAAGGGATCAAACTCATTTTCTTAAAGAATTTGAGGCTTAGGTAAGAATTCAACTCATCTATGTAACCTTGAACTCATTTTCTTGAAGAATCAAAGACAATTAAGTTGTCAATTAAGAATTGAACTAGAAGTGCAGAAATTGAGTCATACCATGCATACATGCACTTCTATCACATTTTTTAGTTTGAATTTCAAATAAATTTCACATGCTTGTGTCTATTTTGACTTGGTTTTGAGAATTCATCACATTTCTTACCATTTGACCTTAATAGATCATG